TGCTTTTATAATCACAATTCACTCTTTCTGAAAAGAAAAAGAAAAGGTAAATACTGCAATCAACTTTTAATGATTAATAAGCAAGGCTTGATAGTCAAACTTCAGTTAATTCTGATGCTTTATGAAAACCATTGTAAAACTATTCTGATTGCTAAAAATGCCATAACAATCTTCAAACAATTAAATACCTCTGCTTACTTAAACTATTCATCAATTAAGTAAAAATATATCTGCTAATTTAAATTGAAAAAATAATTTATAAGGAGTTATCAGTAGTACTTTTTACAGTAGTTATTTCTTCAAGATATGAACAGCATATTTTACTTTTTTAAAAAAGAACTTTAGATTTTACTCACAAAAGGAAAAATAGCTATAGTTAATATAATCATGTATATTATACTCTGTTTTTACAGTCAAAGGTAGAAAGGTTTCTTCCAAGTGAAAGAGAAATTAATTAGACATTCAAGCAAACATGAAAAAGCACTCCAAACAAAGGAGATTCAAGTGGTAGAGTCAATCACCAAAAGTGTAGTGGAAATAACTAAACCACAGTCATTTTCTCAACAGTAGTAATGTTTAATAAAATGTTTAATTAAATAGTTTAGGAATGTTTGTCTATAAATAGCTGCATGATTTCATTTTGATATTTTATGTCAAGATACAAAAACCACACATTCTAAATGGTCACATTTTGTAGGGCAGAATAATAATACAAATAATGGTAAATAAATTCATTTCTAAGTATCTAAAGTGAACCCTTTTCTCATAACAACTATATCCTATGTGGATTGGAATGAAGAATTAACAATATTCACAGGTACTAATATTACAAGAATATTTCCAATCAAGCAGAAATCTCCGCTGTAAGTGCAGAATTGCCCACCCTTTTCTCCATCTCATATGAGGACATGAAATCATCTTACCTGTCACCCTGCCACCCAAGAAGATCTTCATCAACCTCATAAAGAGCTTAAAATGTCAAGACACAGTCCCCCTCACCTCCACCCCTTTCCATGGTTTATTAAGCAAAAAGACAAAACTCTTCATGGTCCCTTCTGGTTCCAACAATCTATGATTCAAATAGGGCTAATGGCTCTCTTTTCATGCTCAGTAGTGTCCTGGTGAGGGAATGATTTTACTATCTTTTTCTGGGGGGTCCTTCAGATTTATCTAAAAGAAAATGAATTACAACAGGATGACAAGGCCAAAATAAAGCCATTTAGTTTAAAAAATCTATTATGTCCTCCAATCTGTTTTATGGGCATGGTCCTATTATAAACAATGCAAAATTCTAAAACAAACTTTTTTTCCTTTTCTCTCTTTTAAGTGAAAACATTTACAATTTTATGATAGTTTTTCAAGCAGTTTAGCTTTTTTTTCTCCCCTCATGGGTTTCTTTTCCCAGAAAACTTCCATACTGCTTTCTCAAACATGCAAAACATTCAGAGACAAGAAACTGGACTTTTCAAACACAAACTGCTGACAACTGTCAGAAGCACTTTACTGGGGCAGTACTGACTGTAGCTTCAATGAATTAAGCTTGATTCACTGCGGGTGAATCATTTTCAATGCAGAGCTGTTCAGCAGTAATTGGCCAAGAATCCCTGCTGCGAAAAGCACTTGTCAAATGATGCTTGTTTACAAATATATCTCCAGACAGCAAAAAGTGGCAGTTACCGAATAAGTTCAGGGCCACTTCCAAAATTCATAAAAGTGGGCATGTCTCTTCTACTTATTAAATTTATTAAAATTTTCACTTGTTACACTTGCTAATATTTGTCCTGCTTGATCAATCTGAGACAAATCTCTTGATAAATATGCCTCTGAATTATTTTATAATAGAAGAGTTTTGCATATCATACTGTAGAACAAAGATTCATTCCACATGTAGTTTATGCCTAATATAATAGGGCAATTAAAGATACATCTATCTTATAAATTGTATAGAATTTAGGCTAAAGAGTAAATTTTCCTCTTATTGTCTGTTATCCAATATATTCTAACATTCTAAATAAATAAATTTCATATCAATCCAAGATTCTAGATATATGTTTGGCTTCATTTCAATTCTGCTTATTGATGTCTATCAAAGTTAAATTCAAAAAATGACTAGAATACCAATTATGAAGGTAAACACATTTATTTCTATCTGCTTTGAAGCAGGTTTTCCCCCCCACATCATGGAAGCATTCATATAATACACATATATATACATGAAAGTTTGGGAAATCACTAACCATCTATAGATTAGAGAAAGCAAATTATATGAGAGGAAGTTATTAATGAATTTAGCATATATCTCGATTCCTTCTGCGACCCTGACCTTCCAAGTTCCCTCCAGAAACAAACAAAAACAAACTGAAAAACTCTCATCTGAATCCCTAAGTAACAAAAAATTTAAAAAAAAAACAATTAAAAGACAGCTGCTATAAATATTTTAATATATCTTGCTGCTCAATTTATAATAACACTAGCATGGAAAAACAAAAAGAATGTAAATTTCATAAAAGAACCAAAATAAAGATCTGGGATGATACTAACTGGAAAGATGGAAAACTGTGTTGGGTAGAGATGGGATGAATTAGATAAAGCTGTGGATATTAATAATATTTTATTTCTAACTATGTATAATAGTGACGTATCACAAAATGTGCCCCCAATAGGCATGCTTTTATTCTTGGTGTCTCTGGAGCACCGGATGATAAAGTACCACTCATTTTGGGTTAGACCCTCTCCAACCCGCATCTCACTGCAGCCCAAGTTTGTTGTGTGTTCTACTAGCCGGGGTAAGAAAATACAACCCCTAAGTGTCAAATCTGTAATGTCAGCCAGGCTACGTTCCACAGGATCGAGCTCCGCTTACTCCTTAGGAGACCCGTAGGATTCCCTCGCTTCTTTCATTTGCTTCTACTTCTTCCTACCCGCTACCCGCACCATCTTGGCCCTTGTTCCCTCACTGAGAATTCATTTCTTCCCATTCTCTAGCCAGGAGCGACTGACTCCCTTTCATCTCCAGGTTCTCCGTCCCCATCACACCTGGAGAAAAAAACTTGAAATATAACGGAAACAAGGAAGGATGAATGATTTTACTGTTAAACCTTTTTAAACCTAAACCAGGATGCCCCTTTCGCTTGAATAAGGCAGTTAAAAGGATTCTAACCTTGTTATAATCCTCAGGACTTCTAACAGAATGACTCTAACATGAGATGTTAATAGAAGGTCTACGACTCCAGAAAACACTTTTTCAACTTTACCGGGAAGGGAAATTGTAAATTGCTTGGCTTAAGCATGGAAGATTGCATGCATATGTATAGATAGGCAGATATAGATAGATACACATCCTTTAATCAGAGTTTAAAAAAATAAACTTAGGGGTTAAAGAGACAAAGTTCATGGGGTGAGGATGGGGGGATCTCGATCCGAGCTGCTCTGGCACGGTTCCTCGGGAGCTGGCAGCGCTGGGTACAAGCTCAGCGCCTTCTCCTACAGCCGAGACAGAACCCGTGCAAGTCACGAGGACACACACCACTTCGCTGCTGCAGCTTCATCTTTCAGGTCCAGCGTCCCCTGCCCCAGGAGTGGAAGGAATGTCTTGAAGGTTCTGCGCCACAAGGTTCGCATCCACAGCCCCGAACCGAAACCCCAGCCTTCTAGCCAAGGGCGTGGGGTTTCCACGTTTTCGTGGTGGAGCTGATGCTCCTAGTAGCCCTGACGTGGATCTGAAATGCTGCGCTGTCCCCCCCCCCCCCCCCCCCCCCCCCCCCCCCCCCCCCCCCCCCCCCCCCCCCCCCCCCCCCCCCCCCCCCCCCCCCCCCCCCCCCCCCCCCCCCCCC